ATTATACCCCAGACAACGTGTGTAATACAACAGCGCGTTAAATTTGCTTGTAACTGTGGCTGTTATCGAGCGGCATCAAATTACCTCCGTTAACATTGGTGCCGGACGAAGATGCTAACCCTGACACAAGTTAACGCTATTACATGCGATAGTAATTCCCACAAATTAATTAGTAAACTCATAGCATTAAGTGCAATCGCAATGTCACTATTGTACAGATAAGATTTGTAGAAACAAAAAACACGTTCGAATTTAACAGAATTTCTTGAATGGAAAAAATACGCACGACACCCATGTTTACGGCGTTAACATCCCTGACCGGCTCCAGTATTAACGGTGTAATTTGATAGCATTGATGAGCCGTCAAAGGTCTGTTCTACTCTGTATTTACAGTGCTACATGCGCATGCATGCTACCGACTGTCTGTACTCTGGCTGTCTGTCTGCCCAAGGAGTTTAACATGCGAGCGCTAAAAGTTAAATAACACTAAATAAATTTGCTTATACTTACTTATAGAATATTCGTTAAACAATAATTATAACTTGATCAATTTTAGCAAGGTTTTGTCACGTCGAACAGGGAATCTCTTTGGTAAAAAGACGGAGATTACTGACCAAATTCTTTTCCGGCCCGCAGTTTTGCGAATATTATTTTTTACGACCATTAATAAAAAAGCTTATTGCAGCAATATCAAAAATAATTTAATTAAATATAGGTAATTACATACATTGTAGGATTTGCATCCAGAAATCCATGTATAACGTGTACGATTTCGGTCGTTAACATTTGGGCCCGGCGGGAATGTTAAAGGCTTAAAGTTAACATGCTCGCCCGGCGCACATGTTAATGCGTTAACCGTTGTGCGGGTTCAGTCAATACTCGTGAGCTTTCATAGCATCAATTGCACAATAATGCCAATTACACGATAGAAGAGACAGAATTTGTAGAAACAGAAAACACAATCCGAAGTACAAGACTTTCTTGAACTGGAAAAATGAGCCCGGCACCTATGTTAACGGCGTTAACATCCCTGCCCGGCTCCGGTGTTAACGCTGTAATTTAATACCACTGATAAGCCGACGACAATCTGTTCTGTACACGACGCGAGCTTGTGTGATGGAGCCTGTAAGCTGGCTCTCTGCCTGCCAAACTACAGATAGCTCAACAACCGAGCGCAGATTTGCGCATGCGTAAGTAAATCAGCAGAAAATACTGTATAATGGTGAAGAAATTTTGAGTCAAACTTTCAGTTTAAATCGTTAATTATTATTTAATCACAAATACCGCTGATTTCTTTTCGAAAAGCAGTAACTGTAACTTAGTCAGCTGCAGAAAGGTAGAAAGGTACAATTGCGGAACGGTCTACAGGGTGGAGATTACTGAGAAAATTCTTGGAATGCAAAAAACGCAAATACAGTATCAATTTATGCTGAGGCTAAACCTTTTACTTCAAAACAATTAGTTTGCACATAAGCCTCTTAACACTATTATAGTCCTGTACTGTCAGCTTCTTGTGCCCACAATAGTGAAGCTTCGCATCAAGCACCACAGTCACTGGGTTTTATTTTCCGTTTTAGTGGCATCCCGCACGCAATTTTGCGAACATTATGCTTTACAACTCTATTAAAAAAACTTTTCTTGCAGCAACGGCTAAAATAATGAAACTCATTATAATTATTATTACATATGCTGTAGGATTTGCATCCATAAATCCATGCGCAACAACGTATACGATTTCGGTCGTTAACATTTGGGCCCGGCGGGAATGTTAACGTTAACATGCTCGCCCGGCACACATGTTAATGCGTTAACCGTTAACATGTTAACAGTTCTGCCGGCTACACACGGTCCTTACCAGTTTCACTGGCGATCTGCTTCGCGTCCACCGTTGTCTCACGCAACACTTCCATCTGGACGGCATGTATGGCTTCGTGCATTCCCCAATCATTGGCATCGAAGGTGTCCTTCGAGTGCAGGGGGAGCCGGCTCAATCCGTCAGCCTGTCCGAAGTCATCGGTGGACCGGTACTTGATGGTGAAGGTATATGCCATGAGTGCAATGGCCCACCGCTGGAGGCGGTTGGCAGATACCGCAGGAATTCCAGTCTTCCGGCCCAACACCGTGACTAACGGCTTGTGGTCTGTAAGGAGTGTGAACTCCCGACCAGCCAGGTACTGGTCGAACTTCTTCACACCGAAGACTAAAACCAACGCCTCTTTCTCTATCTGCGCGTACCGCTGTTCAGTTTGCGTCAACGTCTTTGATGCATGGGCAATGGGCTGTTCTTCTCCGCTCGGTCCGCGGTGGCTGATAACCGCTCCGACCCCTACTGCGACGCATCCGCTGCGAGGATTAGCGGCTTCGCAGGATCGTAATGCACCAGCATTGTAGCTTGTGCCAGCTCCGCCTTCAGGCTGCGGAAGGCACCATCACATTCTCCTGACCATTCCCACTTGACGTCCACTTTCAGCAGGGCGTTGAGGCAGTACGTCTTGGTCGCCAGCTGGTGAATGAACTTGCCGTAATGATTGATCATTCCCAGGAAGGATCGCACCTGGGCAACGTCCACCGGTGCTGGCATCTCCATTATCGCGCGAATCTTTGTTTCGGACACATGTCGGCCGTTTCTGTCAACCACGAATCCCAAGTATTCTACCGACAGCTGAAGGAAGTTGCACTTCTGCTGTTTCAGGGTGAATCCTTGTCGGTTCATTCGTTCGGCTACTTCGGCCAGATTCGCAAGGTGCTTCCGTCGTGTTCTGCCTGTGATTATAATGTCGTCCATGTACACAGCTACGTACGGGATGCCATTCAGCAGTTCTTCCATCATCTGTTGGAAGATGCTGGGCGCTGCAGCCACTCCGAACGGCAGTCGAGTGTAGCGATACAATCCGCGATGCGTGTTTATCGCAACCAACTCACGGCTCGTTTCGTCCAGTGGCACTTGATGATATGCATCGGACATATCAATCGTGGTAAATTCCTCACCGCCATTGAGAATGGCAAATAACTCGTCCGGCAAGGGCAGTGGGTACCGCTGCACATCCAAGGCATCGTTGAGCCCGGTGCTGAGGTCCGCGCATATCCGCACTGCTCCGCCTTGCTTCCGCACCACTACTATTGGCGCCGCCCATGCCGATCGCTCGATCCGTTCCAGGACGCCCAGTCTCTCCAGGCGCTCAATGTCCTTCTCCACAGGCTCTCGTAGCGCAAAGGGCACGGGGCGTGGCTTGCAGTTCTTTGGCACTGCATCCGGCTTCAAGTGCAGATGCGCCTGGAACGTCCGGCAGCATCCGAGTTCTTCCCGAAAGAGATTCTTGTTCGCCTTCAGTATGGATTCTAGTGACCTTTCCTCGTGCACCTGACCAATCGCCAGTTCAGACATCTTGTGGTGTTGGAGGTTGAGCGCGGTGATCCAGTCCCTTCCCAAGACGTCCGTGCCTTCCTCCACCACAATGAGTTCCATCAACCGTTCTTCACTGCCGCCGTCGCGTTTAACTCCCACGTAGCAAGCTTCAAGGACTTGGATTTCGTGTCCCGAGAAGCTACGGAGCTTCGAGTCGCACGCACGGGAACAGGTCCGGTCGTTTCAATTCGTTCCACATCTTCCTGGTGGCAATGGTCTTCGCCGATCCTGTGTCCAGCTCAAACGCAACTGACCGACGGCAGACCGTTAGATGCACCATGATGGGATCCCCTTCTCCAGTGGTGGTGTTCAGCACGTCGTATACGGCTTCCACTCTACCACTGCGTCGCAGGGTTCCCCTTCCCGTTGCCGCACTAGATCTGCAAACTTTCGCAATGTGGCCGTTCTTACCGCATTTTCGGCATGGCTGATTGCGAAATCTGCAGTCTGCCTGATCGTGGTTTGTCCCACCGCATCGGTAGCAGGGCTTCGTCTTCCGCGGACTCTGCTGTCTCGCTGCGTTGCCTCTTCCTGCTTTCCGGATGACCTTTACCGAGGTGGGTATATCCTCCTCCAGGTTATTGTTCATCTTTGCTTGCTTTTGTCCCGTCTCAAACCTCCTGGCAAGCTGGATTGTTTCATCAAACGACTTCAGCTCTTGTGACATAAGGTGTCTTCTTGTCGTATCGCTGTGAACTCCCGCAACAAATACAGCGCTCAGCAGATCTTCCAGTATGGCCCCCGGGAACTTACATGTGTAGGTCCTGTTTCGCAGCTCATTAGAGAACTGTACCAGTGACTGGCTGGACTGCTGGCGTGTTCTGAAGAAAGATGCCCATTCTGTTGTCTGATAGGTCACCTTGATATATATGTCATCGAGTTTCTTCAGCAGCTCATCATACGAAAATTCGATCGGATCTTTCGGTCGGCAAGCGCTGACAACATCCTGAAAGGCGCGCAATTCCAGGCTGTTAATCAGCACTTCCTATTGCTTTGCAGCTGTAGTCTCTGTGAGGGACAGGTAGTTTTTAAGGAGGGACTCCAAGGATGTCCATTCAACCTGATCCGGGTTAAAACGGATCAAGTTCTGGGCTTTTTCTTTTGCGGCAGTCATTGGGGAAGACACTGGGGAAGTATCAGAAGTCGACGTGGATGTATCGACCGATCCGGGCATACATTCGCTTTGAGTAATACCGCCTTCACGCCAATGTCGTATATGTAATACGCTTTCATATGATAATAATACAGTAATAACACAAAGTCTCAGATTCTCGTACCCAGCTGGTAATCGTACTAAATCATCAGTATTATCGCACACCACAACTCATGACCTTTTGCGCTTAGCAACATCATACACTACAGTAATCCTAATTACAGCGGTTTCGTGACCTTACATCCTTTTCCAACCTGAACAGTCAATTGCTCCCTGGAAGCGCTGTATAAGCAGCTCCAGTTGAGATGCTTTAAGAGCATCGTTTTAATACCTAAATAACTAACTGCTCACAGTTCTGCATAAAAGGCTGCATAAATTCCTGTATATGTGAATAAAGTAGCTTATAACCAATAGCCGGAGCTCATGTTTATAATGTTGCAGACAGCAGGGAAATGTGCATCGGAGACCTTCCGCATCCAATCCTCGCCTGCATTCTGTTCAATCTAGATGTTGTCGAGCAGTTACAAAAGAGCCGGTAAGTCAGTAAGGTAATCATGCCAAAATACGACTAAGAAGTAAGAACGCAGTTGGTTCTACTCGCACGCTGGCCATTTGAACGACTGTATCTGTACCAGCAATACGAGTAATGCAAGTGGCCACCGTACGGCGTCCGAGCAGCGCATACTGCAAGCCTGAAGCCAGTACCAGTTATTAATTGTTACTTATTAAATTCTCACCAGAAACTAATTGCTGCTTAAACGGGAACAGGGTGTGCATGCTGTGGACACTGCTTCTGAATGGCTGCATAAAAAACCAGCACATCACCCTCGATCTCCGTCCACTACGCGCTCGAGGGCCCTGTGACGTGGAATTTACCATTTGACACCAAGAAAGCCAATACAAATTCGTCAACCTGTTAGACCTTGCCATTAGCCAGGCGACGCGGACGGTGACGTTGATTGCGGAGGGGCAGAGTGATGATCAATCGACACGATGTTTGTCGGTAACGCTATGGACATTTGGAAAGAGTTCTGGAACGGAAGTGCATTCATCAGCAAATGATTATCGTTAAGAACGGCTGCGATCATTATTGTGCGCCGATCCATGGGTTTCTTGGTCTTATCGGGGAGGATCTGGCTGGCAGCCTTCGATGCTTCACTGTGCAGCTTGTGGGCCGTCTGTAAAGAACTAGTGCTGGTTAGTTACACCGCTTCGCATCCGGCCAACAACCCAACGGTATTGGTCACGTTGATCGACAATGCCGCCGCGTGGCTCAAGGTGACATTCCGTGGTCACAGTGAGCAGTCTCCATCCGTCTGCATTCCACATTTGCACTTCCGTTCCACAGATAATCCCAACGAACTCAGCCGACGCTTCTTGACCGCCGTCAACGATCACTGTCCAGAAGTTGCGCAGCATGTCTACGCAAAGGTCACGGCTCTGCATGCACGATGGAAAGAAACGCTGGCCTATCCGGATGAATGGGTCGCTTTCCGATCATTCTTGAAAATGTGGGTAAAACTGTACAGCAAAAGTAACCTGTTATTTAGCATGCTCAAAACAGCGCGATGGACGTTACGCACTGTTACTGATTTACAGCTTCAGCAGTTTTAATCCCCATCATACCTCAACCTGGTGGGAAGAAGCGGACCTAAGAGAACTTGACGTTTTTGTGCTGAGTCGATTTGCCCTGCATTTTCTGGATGGATGCCACACCGATGAAGCGAATGATAGTTAAATTAATAGGACCCGTCTGCGAAACTGAGCAATTAGCAGTACTGCACAAAATATGTTTAGCTTCGTTGGACGCCTGATTCAGGGAAAGACAGGAGAAAGCCGATCTACCGCCTTCTTGAAACAACGCATTAGTCTAGCGATAATGAAGGGAAACGCTGCCGCAGTTTTAGGCACTTTGCTGGCAGAAGTAAATTTGAGGAAGGGAATGATTTTGGTTGTTTTTTGAATTTGAAACCGTAGTATGTAATCATTGTTGTTGAACACGAAGGAAACCAATTAAGCATTACTATTTTGATATTTCCTCGTTCACAGAATCCAGCGTTAAGAATACGAGTAACAGCAGTGGCAAAAGTGCAGTAGTAACCATAGTAATTGCTTATTCCTTCTACGCAATTTGCTAAAATTCGTACTGGTTTAGCTGTGTTTTTTCGGAACATGATTTACGAAAAATTACCAAGTGAGGGGTAAGTGTTTTAGTAATTGCTTGTTAAGAAATTTCCTAACCGTTCGATTGGCTTAAATCTGTAGGTAAAGCAAAGGTTGGCTTCGCTGACACCACTAAATACCTGTAAAGTACTCGAAAGAGGGAAAAGACTTTTGCGTATCTTAAAGAAAATAATTACTAATGTTTTACTCCATTGGACAGCAACACAAGTATCAGAACTGATTGCAGAAAGTTCTGATGCAAGTAGTCAGATAGCAGCCAAAGGTCAGACGCTGATCAACCAGTATTCGAATTTGCTGTTAAAAAATTTTTCGGACAAATCCCCCATCCTTCGTCCGGCACTACACTTCTACCGATTACCCTTATACAGGACGGCAGTGCAATTTCGAGCGGATGGTGGGGGAGCTATCCGAAAAATTTTTAAGCAACAAATTCGAAATCAGCGTTACTGATTCACCTAGAAGAAGTGTGCAAACTGTTGAAACCAACTTTTTTTAAGTTTGACTCTATTCCTACCACCCACGGTATCGGTAGGGTGCTTGGGCCCGGCAGTCAGAATTTCGTTTTAACCTTTTGCAGTCTTGGGAAATAATTTCTAGATCCGAAAAATGCGTTGAATCACCGCTACCGCTACCGTCGTTTGCTAATATCCTCGCGTAGCCCATGATAGCAGATACCCTTTACAGCAATTACAACCACTTCGAGATGATGTGGCGAATGTTCCTATGTTTCACTGCGCTGCGATGCATTTTGCGTTCTACAAGTTCAACGTTGGTTGTCGTGTGTTTGTGCGGGCGGGAACGGATACGATCGCCTTCATTTGCGCCGAAGTGAACGATGGCGCCTCTGGTCATAGCCTCTTCTGGAACAGCGATTTCCTGGAAGAATCCTGCCGCAGCTGTCTAGCAGAGCGACATTCTCGGCCAATCGATGCGCTTAATAACTTGACGATGGGAATGCTTCAGTATGGTCCGCGTAGTAATCCGTAAATACAGAGGCGCATGATCTTTTACCTTACCGGTTTCTTGTGCTTTCTCGTGTTCCCATGTTTTGTTAGGTTTTATACTACAACTGTTTAGGTAGAAGCATTAATTAACAAACGAACTGAAGGATGTTTTCAGGAATTATTTAAATATTCGGCTACCAATCGGCTCTCTGCTATTCCAGCTACCAATCTTGCATTAACTTCATATACTTCTCGCGCTGTATTTCCAGACGTGGAATGGGATTGGGAAAGACTTAAGGGGTTTGGCCCGGTATATAGCACCAAATTTGTACACATCCACGGCAACTTTCGCTGTCGCGCACTCCCGAACACTTCTTTGCAATGCTTTATGGTACTTTATAGCCAAAGGAATCGTATACATAGACGAACAAACCGTTTGTGCGCGCAACATCCGGTTCAGGAGTTACCTGCGGAATCCTACCAGAGCCTTGGTAGATTTAAGGCAGCTTTAAGCTGTGTTGATTCGCAGTAAGTAGTGTCTTTTAAAAAGTTCTACCACGCAAAGCACGTGTTGTTGTTGGAAATGTAAATACTTGCAGATTTTTTGAAATACGATTATTTCGATGTTTCTTGTTTGTCATGACGTGATTTTATGACGTGCCTATTGCCTCGAACTGTGCTTTCAGCTCAGATTGTGTGCGGACGTTAAACCATTAAACCAAATTGCTTGCATAACATAGGATAAACTCTGCCTCCGCCATAATTATAGAAGCTCTTGAACTTTCTTTGCGTCAGTGAAAAACTCATAATAGCCTGCAAAAGCAACGAAAGCTACTGTACAAGAAAGCCAATAAACAGCTTACTTATAAGAAAACGTGTGTACTCATAACACAGTATTGTATGCGTATATATCAGTTCTAACCCTACCCGTAGGTTCTGGAAATCTGGAGATATTAGCAAAATTTGGTAGTTAGTAACTCTTCAGTGGCATTCGCTTTTCTGTGGCCCAATTCAACCCCCATCCACTTCAGTCGCAGCTCACGAGAATCCGTCCAGATAATGTGAGGCAAACCGGCTCAAAGTTGAAACATCAAGCCTTCTCAGATCCGCTCCATCCCACCAAGCATCAGTGTGCTCGCGACGAAAACTGTTGAAACTGTATGTAACACAGTAACAAAGTGAGCGTACTACGTATGTACTTTAATATTTCTAAAGTACAACAGTAATTACAATAAATTTCTTACAGTTTTAAGAACATTCAAATATGGATCGAACCAGCCGGATAGGCCAGTTTCTTTTTCCAGCGCGCCTGCATTGCCGCGACCTTTTCAAAAACATCCTGCGCAACTTCCGGGCAGTGATCGTTGACGGCGCTGAAAAAGCGCCGGCACTGCTTAGCAGCATTTTCCGTCGAGCAGAAGTGCAGATACGGAATGCAGACGGATGGAAACGGTTCTTTCTTCTTGGCAACTAAATAAAGATCGCGCAGCGATAGCGCTGTTTTCCGTACATCCCACTCAGTGGTGAACTTTCATCTAGCGACTAAAGTACGTACCCCTCATATGGACCGTCGTCAAGTCCTGGACAACAATGTTGCCGACTGGTTCCGGTTCCCTTGACAGTTGTTCAGTTAGGTAGCTTTGGCACGCTTTCCTTAGACAATCTTCGTCCCAAAACATACTACGCCCCGCGGCATCTCCGTGCACCTCGGCGCAAATGAATGTAACCCTATTGATTCCGGCTCGCACAAATACCCGACAACCAACATCGAACTCGTATAAACCCCCATCCGATCATGAAGCTCCATACAGTGAAAATAAAATGTACCCCCTGCAGCACTCCTTCGGAAACGACATCCTGCACTGCATGGGTCATCAGGGCCGAGAAGTACCTGACAGTTGGGAATAAGGAACTTGGGCAAGAAATGCACATGCCGCAACTGATGCGCCTTATCGAAAGCGACGACATGCTTTTTGTACACGAGTCCGCTGACTTTTACTGAAAAAACTTTGCTCCGTTTCCGGTGCCGGCAACTCTTCGGTTATTTGGTAATCCGGCACGATACGGCGTTCAGGAGAAAGGTTGTGGTCCGGCAGATCCAGACTAACAGCGTAGAACATGCCGTTCAAAATCCGAATCGTGGTGGCGGACCGGAAAGTCAGCGGTCCGCCAGTTTTGTCATGCAGCGCAGCGTATAGGCTAGGCAGCGGTGCCCCCATATAAAAGCTAAAAGTTCGAGGCGGCCACAGATGGTTAGCCGGGATCCATTGGGCACCGACGGTGGTGGCATCGCAGTCAACGAAGAAATTATCGCCGTCAATATCCGGGACGTATCCCAGCCATTGTCGCGCCGCACCAGCACCGTGTTCCCGTAGCTTGTTTGGCGGTTAACCGACTGCATTTCCCGAAACTAGCGTAATGTTGGACCCATGTCGATATTTTGGAAATGATCAGATCAGCAGAATGAATCAGTTCTCGAAGACTCAAATTTAGGATTTAAAATAAATATATACCGTAATCAATAATGCACTGAAACAACCAGAAACCTGGGAAGAACTGGCCAGTTGTTTCGAAAGTGGCGCTTTATGACACTGTACCGTACAATGTCCTCAAATTAATATTAGTGCGGATGGTAGATCGCTCTGGCTCTTCCCATGTCAGGTGATACGTAAGTCTGGAGTATACAGTATGCTCCATCTAAATAATAGCGATTCGGCACAACTGGTGTGCAGTCGTCGATCGAACTCATTCAACTCTAGCTAAAAATCGAACTCATTGAACTATTGATACATTGTGATACTCCACCATACAAGAGATTTATTGGCTAGTGCCAACACTTGAACTTTAATCAACAACAAAAGCTGGATTATAAGTCCGAAGCATTAATTACTAGCCGGCGATAAAGCGGAATCTGGAGTAGAGTAAGAAAGCTCAAACGTGGGATGATGTGCCCTATAAAGTATCAAACCACGCAGCTGTAGTGAGTGTAGTCCGAATCATCAACAACCGATCAATTTAATTTCAATAAAATTACAGCGCAAGCAAAATTTCAACCATACAATACTGTTGAATAAATTACTGTGTGTAACACTCAGTCCCTGTAGTATACATCCAACACGGCGAAAGTTATCTTGTTCAGCCTTGGCAGTTCCATTTGCCGTAAGTCAACATCATCCCAGCGCTGCGGACTGCCGTCGTCGCGGACGCTGTTGAGCCTGATGAAAACACCACCAGTTGAATTTTAACTGATGTTCGTTTCGCTACTTATTTCGACATAATACCCTGCTGTACTTTCGCCATACTCACATCCGAAACAAGCTGCGAATCCACGCCCAGTTGTCGGGGTAGGGCAACATCCGCAACCAGCGCGCATGCACCGCTGTGACCTTTTCCAATACCCGCTGAGAAACGGCTGGACAGTTGTCGTTGACCGTGGCTATTAAACGTTGACAATGTTCGCAGCTGTCTCAGTAATACAGCAACGAAAGAACGGAATAACCACATACAAGCGCCCTTTATCGTCCTCCCGCGATCGCAAGTAAGTGATTTCGTCCTGCGGCCATGTCAATCGGCTTTGGAACACTGCCATGTGGATGAGAGACTTGTGCCCGGTCCGCACGCAGGCGGTGTA